CCTAAAGAAAGCTCCAGCCGATCCAGGAGAGAAGGACAACCGCTGCCTAAGCAAAAACCTGCAGTGATCCCGTACGTGTCAGGAGTATCGGAGCAGCTGAGACACATTTTTCCTAAACACCAGGTCTCTGTGGCTTTTAAACCCCAAAACACGCTGCGCCAAAAACTGGTCCACCACAAAGGATCGTGTCCCCCGACACAAACGGAGTAACATAGTGTATGATGTTAAGTGCAGGAGGATTGCCAGGATTTATACATCGGGGAAACCAAACAACCTCTGGTGAAGCGGATGGCACAGCACAGAAGAGCCACCTCGTCAGGCCAGGACTCTGCAGTCTATTTACACCTACAGGCCAGTGATTGGGTAAACCTGCAGTCAGCTGAGACTGAAGAAGTTACTTGGATGATGACGAAACATTTCTCCCACTGAAATCATCCAGATGAATAGAATCAACTTTTGGGCAGTGACACTGATGTTATCAAATGTTACCTAGGAAGGAATTATACCTGCCATGTGCAGCTATAACAAATCTCAACGACTGATCCACTACAATTTGCATACAGGCCTTGTAGGGGCGTTGATGATGCTGTGATCACTTTAATAAATTTCTTGAACACTGAAAAAATGGCTGTTTTCAGTGTTCATTAACCCTCTGAGCTCTAAGTCATCATCCATGATAGTCCCATGTTTAATTTTATCAAAAAATATTTTTTTAATTTGGTTTTTCCAAAGTGTCTTTTTTGCTTTTCTTCTTAACATAGAGTCTGGACCATCTTAATGCCGACTTAGACCTCACAGAGTAAGTTAATATGACCTGATTGAAGTATTGAGACATGAAGGCCAAGGAAAGTCACACGTGGTTGTCATGTCAAACACTGTTGAAATTCCTCGTGGGTAAAGAACTGTCAGGGTCCGTCTGTCTTCCCTTCTCCAAGGCTGTGTCCACATTCAGGGGCTGCATCCTTCGAAGGACCCAGCCTACCCAGTCTACGTATGTCAGGTCCTTCAAAGTCCAGGAAGACCGGAAGTGCAAGGCTTGTTAAACTGGATGGGCTAGCCTACATTGCACATTCCCTGTTGCCTAGCAACCATGATGGCAGCAGCTACAGCTGTAGTGCATGTTCAACAGAAATACAGAAAATCTTAATTTTATGTCATTTCTTTGACTTTCTCTGGGGAAATTGTTTTGTTTCATCTACATGTGATGTATCTAAGAGAACATCAAGAGAATATCTGAGAGAACACTGAGTGCCTTTAACAAAAAATGAGCCTACCTTTAGCTAGTAAGCTAGTAGTTCATGAGACTAGTTTCATTTCATTGTAACAGTACAAATATAATACATTTGTCACGGGTGCTGAGACGAGCCGTGTGGTATTGAAGGGAAAAAGGACCCAAAACGCAGGCAGTAGATGATAACGCTTGGTGATGATTTATTTACACAGTGGTGAGAAGGCAAAACCGGCAAGAGGGAAGACAAAACTAAAGACCTGAACTGGGAAAGCTAAATGACAAACCTGAGA